TAAAATATTTCCGGGGAGAAAAAAAAAAGAAAATGCAAAAGGAGAAAATTATATCTATTTTCAAAAGAGAATTACTAATATACTGGGAAATAGTCTGGGTCTGATTGCCAATCATAAATCATAAAAATAATTCTCTAAACATAATTTTTAAACAAAAATACTAATCTTAAATAAAGCTTGCAGGGTATACTAGAGCTCAAATGGTAGGGCATATGCCTAACATATGTGAGACCTTGAGGTTGATTGCCAGTACCACATGCCCTGTATACTCCAGAACATCAGGTATAGCCATGGTGGCTCCAATACAGAAAGAGATGGAGAAGTGAGAGCATGTGTTATATATATATGTGTTATATATATATATATATATGTGTGTGTGTGTGTGTGTTATATATCTGTGTTTTACATATATAATATATATTTATATATGTATAAATTCTTTACATGTATATATCTTGTAGAGGCCAGTAAGCTATTGAGAGTATCCTACCCACATGGCAGAGCCTGGCAAGCTCCCTGTGGCATATTCGATATGCCAAAAACAGTAACAATAACATGTCTTATTCCCTTGAAAATGAAAGAGCCTCCAATATGGCAACGTTGGTAAAGATGAGTAAGAGAGGCTGCTAAAATCTCAGGGCTGGGACAAATGGAGAGGTTATTGGTGCCCACTCGAGTAAATCTATGAACAATGGGATGACAGTGATACAGTGATATATATATGTACGTATATATATATATATAGAGAGAGAGAGAGAGAGAGAGAAAGAGCTTATAGTTGTAATATTGTTAAATCTAAAAGTAATTCTGTCCAAAATCATAAGGTGATCAAGTGGAAATCCTCAATTAGAAAAGGCTGATGCTTGGACCATGATGATTGACTTTTTCCCTTCTATGTAAACAAGTTTGAAAGGAAATATAAATTATTCATCACATTATATCTAGCCAGGGTCAAGTGGTAGTAATAAAACAGAATTTTATCCAGTGGATCAAAACTTTGTGGTAAAAGCTTGAGGGGGGATCCAGTAAATAAAGATCAGACATTAATTGTAACTATGATGATTATCCAAATGATTTGTAAGAAACATACTGATATACAGATAACCATTGTTTTAAGGGAGTATCAATGATACATTATAATTTTAAGAATTACAGTAATATCTTCTTTCATGGAAGCATTCTTAAAATGATTTATGGGCCCACTCAAGATTTGGGAGAAGATACTCCCAAGAAATTATATCCTGCATTGTTTTAATGAGAAAGCTAAAATATATAGGTTGATTTCTCAAAGATAATTTTCAATACAAAAGAAGAACTTTTTTATAACCTGAGCTATCTGACAAATGAAGTAAATTCCTGCTGATATATAATTTTTACTGAAAAAAATTATCAGATTGCTAGAGCAAGAATATTAGTATATTTCAAAATTCTCTTGAAAGCTGAGAATTTGTAATTTTGAGAATATCGGAGCAAGTATTTACAGTCACACAAAACATGTATTATAATTTTCAAGCATTAACATTTTTAGATTTCTGCTCAAACATCACTGTCACATAAGTTTCTTCCCAACAAGAAACTTTAGCCCTATAATCTTTTTTCTTCCCTCTCACTCTGCTCTATTTCTTCTCATAGAGCTTTTAATATGTTCTATGTTTACCTGTTTAAATTTTGCCTCTCCCCTAAAAATAATGGTAAATGTAGTTCCAAGAACAAAGGGACTTTGTGAGTTTTCTTCACTACTCTAACCCTACCTCCTAAATCAGAACCTGTCACTTAATATGTTTTATAAATTGTCACATAAAAATAACATTTAAATGTATTAAAATATTAGAAATATAAACAAGAAATGAAATGTAATTAAACTATTTTATACATGCACCTCCAAATCGAACAGTGGTCAGAATATATTCCCAATACATAATCATAGAAAGAATGAACTTGTATACTCACTTCTGTGTACTTTATTTTCATTTTTTTTATTTGATAGATTATGATGTAGTTGTAACCATCATTTATTTTTTGACCTAAAATGTGAGTAAGTAACTAGTATCACATAGAAATGGCTTAAGAAGAACAGAGATAAATAGAATAGAGTTGACTATCTAGAAATAAGCCCATATATTTGTGGCCTATTAATTTTCCACAAAATTGCCAATACAATTTAATGGGGAAAGAATTATCTTTCCAACAAATCAGTCTAAGACTATTGGATATCTTCATATGAAAGAATAACATAGCCTTGCAAATATGTAAATATTAAGTCCAAATTAATAGTAAGCATAAAAATAACAGTAATAGTAAGCATAAAATCTTGAAACTATTAGAAGATAACATACTGATTCATGAACATATTACATTTCTATTTATTTAAGTCTTCTTTTTTTTTCAGAATTATAGATTTCAGCACTAGGTATTGCATATATCTTGTTAGATTTAGTCCTAAGAGCTTCATTTGTCTTTATGCTAATAATTTTATGCCAATATTATTCATAAATTTCTATTTCCAATTCTTCACTATTAGTATCTTAAATATTACTTTGTATATTGATTTTGTATTCTGTGAATTTATTGAACTAATTTTTTCTTTCTACTCATTAAATTTCTTTGGAATTTGACATGTAAATGTCAATATTTTTTTTCCTTCCCCCCACATTCCCTAACTGTATGCTTTTAATTTTTTTATACTGCCTTATTGCTGTGGTAAAGAGTAGTTAGAGTTAAGTATTAAGTAGGAGTAACAATAGCTGCCTTACTGACCTCCTTCTTTTAGGCAAAAGTAATCAATCTTTGCTTCTGATGTCCTGTATCCATTTGAAAAAGCTCCCATATATTTCTATATTCCTGAGCACTTTTATGTTGAATTTTTTTTCCTGTTATCACACTAATTGGTGATCATGGTTCAGAGCTTACTCCTGGCTCTGCACTCATGGATAACTCTGGAGGTTTCATTGGACTATACATGGTGCCAGCTATCAAACCCAGGTTGGCCATGTACAAGCCAAGTGTCCTAACCACTGTACTATCATTCTGGTCCCTTGAAAAGATGTTGGCTTTTGAAAAAAAGAAAAGAAAAGGAAAGAAAAGAAAAGAAAAGAAAAGAAAAGAAAAGAAAAGAAAAGGAGATGATGACATAGAGGTAATTCTCTCTGATCTTGGGACATTAAAGTCAATTTTCTCTGCTTTCGGATTATAATATAAAAAACTAAAGCAGGGGCGGAGAGAATAATACAGGGTTAGTGAGAAAGTCTAGCATGTGCCTGACCCAGTTCTATTTCTGGTACCAAGAAATCTGTAGAGTTTTTCTGGGTACAAACCCAAAGGCCTACAGCACCAATGGGATGTCCCTGGTATCCCAAGAACTGCAGGGTACTACTCTAAATGCACCCTCGGGTCCCTGTGCTGAACCCACAGGAGGTTGTTGAAAAATTGTCAGTGATGGCTCCAGATCTCTTGAACACTTCCTGGGATACCTCCACCCCAGATACTAAAGCAACAGAAGAAAACGATTATATACTGGACTTCATAAAAACTAAAGTGTGCACTCTTTAAAAGGCACCAACCGACAAGGCATAGAATGACGGGACACATCTGCCAATCATGTGTTGATAAAGCCCAGAACACTTAAATTTAGAACCCTTATAACTCAGTGAGATAAGCCCTAAGCACTACTGGGTGTGGCTCCAAAACAAACAAAAAAGTGTTGAACATAAATTTACCATATAATTTAGCAATTCCATTATATATTTACATAATTTTCCCCAAAGAAATGAAAACACATTGCTACACAAAAACTTGATGCAAATGTTCATTGCAGTTTTTTTAATAATAATCCAAACCAGGAAATGATGCAACTATTCATCAACAACTGAATATTTGAGTATTTCCTTTTTTAAAAATATGTGTATATTTTTATGTGATTATTTTAAACTATTTTTACCTATATATACTAAAATTATATATATTTGAAATCCTATAATCTCTGCATCTTGTCACATTCATAAAAATACACACGACAGATAATTTATGTTCATCTTTCTTCAGTTTTCAGTTCAGAAACAAACCTGAGTTCAAATTTAAGCTCTTCCACTTCTTAGCTCTGGTCTCTAGTTACTCCTTGGAGTTTATACATGTAAAATATAGGTAACATACACTATAACATACACATAATTGTAAATAACTGTGGGATTATATGAGATTAAACAGACAAAATGCTTAGCAGTAGGCTGGCACAGTGTCAGTTCTTAGCAAACCATATGCAGTACTAGCATTAGTCTTTTTGGAGTTTTATTTGCACATCGAGTGTCTCACTAATATTTATAGCAAGGAGAAAGAAGCTTTTTGTTAGGTGGAAAAAGCTACTTCTACGTCTCTAGCGGTCTGACTTTAAAATTTTCACTTAGGAAATTTCTCAGAACTCTAGTTGCCAAGTATATAGAATGAAGAATGTTAGTCCATCTCACTGGACTTGTTATGATTAGGAAAACTTTATGAAGATACTTTGTAAACTTCAAGATACAATAAAATATAAAGTACTGAATTAGTATGACCTTCTAATCCGTCAGTGCCACCCACAATACATTTTTAGGAGAACCAGAATAACTACTCATAGATTGATGTGTTGTCCTTTCTACACCGCTAGGATTATAATGAAAGCATTTTCCCTGCTAGGCATGGTGGTGGTGGAGTGTCAAAGTCAATTTTATTCTCCTGTTATTTGGATTCAAAGTTACAGGACCTGTGTTACTCTCTATCTGAAACACTCTGTCTGTCCCCTGTCCTTTTGAGCTATCAGGCTCAGCTAAATATGTCCCTGGCCAGTATGTTAATAATCCCCAGTGCTTCTGAGACCTCCATCCACCACCGATGTGACATTCTTTGTGTTCAAATGTCTAGCTGACGTCTGATGCTTAAAACAGCCTATGCTTTCACCCCTCTCTGCATTGTCATAGCCCTGTATCATCACTCTTAAAAGGCTATCACAGCCACTCATAGCACCAGTTGCTTTGCTGACCAGCCTGCTCACTTGCCTCCCTGCCTGCTTCTGACAGCCTTGAATGCCTGGTTCTTCGAGCACCTTGTGGGTCTGACAAAGCAGGGACCATGTCTACTTTTGGCTACCGAAGAGGACTTAGCAAATATGAATCCATCGATGAGGACGAACTCCTGGCTTCCCTATCAGCAGAAGAGCTGAAGGAGCTAGAGAGGGAGTTGGAAGACATTGAGCCTGATCGCAATGTTCCCGTGGGGCTCAGGCAAAAGAGTTTGACCGAGAAAACCCCTACAGGAACATACAGCAGAGAATCACTCATGGCCTATTGGGAAAAAGAGTCCCAAAAACTCTTGGAGAAGGAAAGGCTGGGGGAATGTGGAAAGGTAGGCTCTCAGGATCTCTGGTTGGCTAATCCCACCATCATGATCCCATACCCTTTCCCAAACCCAGAAACCTGTGTTTATCTAACTCTATGTTTCTTCACTTTTTTAAAAAATTAAATCCCATTGTACTTACTGCTGAAAATTTTATCAGGCTAATATAGTCGTGTAACTTCTAGAATCATTCAATAACATTATGTAAAATTCTTAGTTGGTGTTCTTTGACTAGACATGGTATCTACAAGAGGAAAATGAGTCACAAGCCAAGTGTGGGTTTAGATATGTTGCCAAATATGAGTCTAACTGGATGTATAAATTGGTCATGTGACATAGTATCTTGCTGTGATGTTGATATGTTAGAGTATGTGTATCTGTCATGTATCATCTACTGTTATCAATTAAATTAAGTTCTTCTGTTAAGACAAAAGTGGGATCTCCAGTTACTTTGACTGCGATGGAGCTACAGTAAAATTATTTTTTCCCAAACATTAAGAAATGTGGGATGGTAGGAAGTATATGGTATGGAGATTGGGGGACCTTATTTATACTTTCAGTCCCAAAGTTTAGACTGAACAACCTGCCACATCTTTGAGAGTCTATTTTCTACATGTTCATGGGAGAAATTGAGTTCAGTTTTTGAAACTTGATAAGTTATAGTCATCAAGAAAATGCTTAAGTGCTGGAATATCCTCAAGAATAGACTCTTTAAATGATGGCATTGCTCCTGAAATCTCTCTGAGGACCCAGGCTGAGGAAATGTATTTATGTTAAAGTTCATGCCTCTTATGCTCCTGTGAACATTTGAATTTATGAAATGAGTCATTCACAGATGATGTTCAAAAGTCTATGGTTTTGGAAAAGAGTAAAGGCAATTAGAATATTAAGACAAGAAAAATTTCTGAATTTGTGGAGTACCAAGGTCAGAAGCAACTGCTTAAAAATTCTGCACTATACTGGAATTATCTAAAATCAAAATATTCTAAAGTCAATGGCAAGACTCCCATATACTAATCTAGGTGCTGTTAGATGATCGCGACGATAAGGGTGTGTGGGCTACATTTGCAGCAAGATATGTGTGAGCTTTGCCCACATCAATCATCGTAGGAAGGGCCACTGGGCCTGAGCCAGGGTCTGCCAAGGCCATAGTAGCCGCCTGGATTAAGAGGCTGGAGTGGAAGGTGAGAAAGAAGGACACACAAAGATGGTGAGAAGCTAGTAGACTTGAGGTGGTCAATTTCTTCACAACCATGATTTTTAGAGAGTAATTTTTTTCCCTCTGAAATGACAACATGTCAAAAATATTACATTTTTAAATTTAGAAAATAGAACATTTCTCTATAAAAATATAGAAAATGGCATTTGGGTTATATCTGTAAAGTACCTCCATAATAAAAAGGATTCAAACTGCCTCTGAATATCCAGGACAATCACCATAATAATAGTCCCCCAAAGACATCGTAATGTCACAGTGTCTACACAGTGTCACAGAGATCAGTGGAGAACAAAAGACAAGGCCTGTAGTCTGTCTGTCAGCTGAGGAGCCACACCTGACCCTGTCAATGGAGGAACTGTGGCTCGCTGCCAAGGGCTTATCAACTCAATTAGAGAGGCTGCTGTGTTGATGAACTTTGATTCCTTTCTCGGTGGCTTCACTTTTCTCCCACTGCACTTTCCTCTCTGGCCAGTTGTCTCTGCAGTCACAAGGAGTGCTGAGTAGAAGCTTGCTGGTGGAGAGTGTAAATCCATTCCCACCACAGGAAAAGGCCGAAAGCAGCCTAAAGCAGCTGACAGGTGCTTGGGGGAGGGAGACAAGATCATAAGTAACAGTGTGGATTACAGGGCAATGGGAATCTTGGTTATCAGGCTCTTGGCTTTTATGAAAACCATGTTCGGTGACTCATGGTCTCTGCCATCTAGGGTCAAACAATCTTCTGCTGTCTTGGAGCTCCAGGGGGGATCTCAGAAATATCTGGTTAATATCCATCTCACTGGAGTAGCTGTTGGGACTTGGACATTGGTGGCAGTTCACTCCCAGCATGCCACTGACTTCTATTTGTGAGAACTGAGGCCGGAAGATGTCTAGAAACTAATAGTTGATAAGTAGAGCTGAAATTCAATCCAAGGTCTGTTGGCACAGACCATGATTCTCCAAATATGACTGGCCCACCTGGAAACTGTTCGTTTTAGAGCTGTCTCAGGTTTGCTGAATGAATTTGTCAATCCAGCAATGAGTGGTCTCCCAGTAACTGTAATGATGCCAGGGATGTGATCAGAAGAAGTGCAAGTCCTTTTTGTTGTCTTATTTATTTCTAAATGGACCGACACTTACCTTCTCTTGTTCATCTCTCGCCATCTCACTGCTCCATCTTATCTCTGGCTTTTCACTCCATTTTTACCAGGATGAGGAATTGCTTTGATAAAAGGCAGAAAAGAGAGTTATTATGCCAGAATAATTTAAAAGTATGCAAATTTTTTTTTTGTATCCTTCTGTCTCCCTTCTCCAGACAATTGCTTTCCTTTTGGTGTTCTCCTAGATGTTCCCCCCACCCAACAGTGACTATCTCAGAAACCATAGATTTTAAAACTGAAAAGCCTATCCCGGGCTACTATTCAGTTTCAGGCAAAAAGGGACAGTTGCTTACCTTATTTGAAGTTTTTCACCATTTTTCTCCTAAGCCTGTTCCTGATTATTCTGAACCATTAACCAATGTTAATTTTAGTCCTTTGGGCTAAAAACCAATTTATTGAGCTGCCACTGCTTGCTAAAAGCTTAGGGGCTACGAGAGCAAAACAGACATCATTCTACTACCCAGAACTCTTTTAAGAAAAATTACAAACGAATGGTTTTGCTCATGGAAGTATAATACCAGGGACATATATAAAAAGGATACTTTGAGGAGGTATCAAAGAAGGTTTTCTGGTTACACCAAAGCACATTCAGGTTTACAAGTTCTTATGTAACTGCTCCAAGAACATTTGTTTTTGTTTTTGTTTTCGTTTTGCTTTTTGGGTCACACCTGGCAACACGCAGGGGTTATTCCTGGCTCATGCACTCAGGAATTACTACTGGTGGTGCCCGGGGGACCATATGGCATGCTGGGAATCGAACCTAGGTCGGCCACATGTAAGGCAAACGCCTTACCTGTTATGCTATCACTCCAGCCCCTCCAAGAACATTTTGAGGGGAAAATATTTCTCTGAGACACAAATGAAAGGTCTTTTAAAAACTTTCCAAAAATTTTCAAAATGAAACTTAAAATAAAAATGTTCTCATTTTGAGGTAGGCCCCTTTCCTTCAAATATGGAAGCAGCTAAGAACAAATACATATGTATATAGATGTGCGAATGTGCAATTGACATAGCCTAGAATTAAAAGCTTACAGGCAATTTCTTCTTTCAACTTACCCATCTACCCCTGCTAGACATGGGGGAGGGCTCCCCCTCTGTTCTCTTACAAGTCAAAAAGCTGGTCTAGAACAAAGCTCTTTCTTTCTCTTACGTTTTTTGGACTGTCATCCCACCCTCTCACCACACATACACAATGTCCCCCCCCCCCTCCTGCTCCTGAAGAAGTAAATTTAGACTGGACAAACTATCTCAGGAGTGGCTGACCCCTTCCCCAGGCCATCACTTGGTGCCTGCCACTCCAAACAAGTGGATAACTGGAGGCTATTTTGTGATAGCAACTGGGCAAACAAACCTGAAGACAAGCATAGTGTTTCCAAAGCTCATTCCACATGCCACAGGCAGCAGGAGCCCACAGTGTGAAAAAGAAACACCACCCCCACCAAAAACCAAAAAAAAGTAACAAAAACCTCAAACCACTGCCAATGGAGTCAGGAACATGGCTTAGAGGGTGAGCAAAGCCCTAGGTTTGGTCTCTAGCACTGCATGCCCGCCCTTTCCAGAACCTTGGTGTGTGTGTGTGGGGGGGGGGGGGTGGTTGGCCTCTAAAATATTATAAATAAACTAATTGAAAAGAAATAAACGACCAACATAGAAGAAAGAATAAAGGCTTTGTGGATAAGTGAAAAGATATAAAACCAAAAAGACAGCAATTGGGGGAAAATCAGAATTGGCAGCGATTTGTTTTACTAATCAGAAAACAGAAAGGAAAAGAAAGAATAAGTTAAGGCTTCTTCATACAGAGACTTATAAACAGGAAAGACAGAGAGAATAAAATTATATTAGCTTGAAGGACTTTCCAGACTGGTACCTGGTAAATAATCTAAGTCTGTCAGGCTGAGGCAACGACCTGCTTTAAGGTTTTTCACTCTTTTCTGCAGTTCTTATTAGGGTTAGAGTCTAGTTAATGCCAAGGACGATGATCTTTCTCTCCTTGTTTTCTACTGCCAGGCTCCTTTTAGCCCAGTGCTAGGATGACATTTCAAGGTGATTTACTGAAAGGGGTGACCTGAATGTTTGTTTTTGGTTAGAGCTGGGCTTTGACCTACTGCCGCCCTTGAAGGGTCTGCCTGCTTGGCTTTCCTCTCCAGATGAGGGGTGGCAAAGCTCACAGGTGAAGCGGGGGTCTCAATGGTGCTAGGATTCCACAGGTAGCTAACTGTTGGGGAGCCAAAGACACAACCTCTGTGTCCTCTAAGAAAGCCCAATATGGAACACTCAGATCCTGCTGGAACTGCTAAATGTGGCACAATTAGGGAAGAATTTTCCAAGACAGAGAAAGCAAAACCATCATGTCAGGAACATGTCTAAAATGCACAGTCTAGGGGGCTGGAGAGATAGTACAAGGGTAGGGCACACAGCTGACCCCAGTTCAATCACGGGCGTTCCATATGGTCCCCCAAGCACCACCAGGAGTAATTTCTGAGTGGAGAGTCAGGAGTGACCCCTGAGTACTGCTGAGTGTAACCCTAAAACTAAAATCAAATGAAGTGTGCATGGACTGTAGTGATCCCCATTACCGGATGGTCCTCAGAGCACTACCAGGGTGGCCTGGTTGCCCCTAGTTCTACTGGACCCAAATAGTGCCTCCTTGCCCACCCTGAGCTGGTTTGGCTTGGGAGTGCCAAGAGTTCTTCGTGGGTCTCCTATTCATTGCCTGGAAGGCTGGCCCAAAATAAAATTAAAAGAGAATCCAGAAGAATGTTGGATATTTTTATTGTCACTTGCTGGCAGGAGAAAATAAGGAAGGACAGAGTGGTGATTACAGAAGGGGGGTTTAAATTTGGCAAACTGCAAGTTGTCTAGGAGGTAAGGAATTCAAAACAGGTAGTTAAGAGAATGGAAAATGTAGCAAAGTCTCTCCAACGCTTAAGTTCCTCCCTGCTCAAATGGACAAAATGATAGTATAACATTTACTCAGTGAATTAAATTCTGGGTATTTATTCTGCCCAAAACAAAAGTAATGAGTGTGGAAAAAGTTCCTGAAATGTATACCTAAAATAGATCAGAAACAACTTTCTCCTTTGTTTCTTTTGTATTCTTTTTTGTGTGTCGCTTTGTTATGGATTGAGGTGTAATCGATAAATCATGTCATTTTAGTTTAAGGCTGTCGAAATTATTGATTGTAACATGAGTATGTATTTTGAAACTGAATTTTGCTCATTTAAAAAATATCTCAAAAATGGTTTAGTGATGATCTGCTCCCTTTTAGGTTGCAGAAGAAGACAAAGAGGAGAGTGAGGAAGAGCTTATCTTTACAGAAAGCAACAGTGAGGTTTCTGAGGAGGTGTACACAGAGGAGGAACAGGAGGAGGAAGAAGAGGAGGAGGACGAGGAGGAGGAGGACGAGGAGGAGGAGGAAGAAGAAGAAGAAGACAGCGAAGAAGAGGAAAACGAGAGAGGCATGAACGGAACTGTGAATAGCTGCAGTGTCAACGGGCCAAAGACCTTTAAGAGTCAAATCGAAAACATAAATTTAACCAACGGCCACAGTAAAAGGTCCACGGAGGCGCCGACGGCCGCCATCCACCCGTGCGGAAACCCCACGGTCATCGAGGATGCCTTGGAAAGGATTCGCAACAATGACCCGGACACCACGGAAGTGAACTTGAACAACATCGAGAACATCACCTCGCAGACCCTCACCCGCTTCGCCGAGGCCCTCAAGGACAACACGGTGGTGAAGACCCTCAGCCTGGCCAACACGCACGCCGACGACAGCGTGGCCGTGGCCATCGCCGACATGCTGCAGGTCAACCAGCACATCACCAACGTCAACGTGGAGTCCAACTTCATCACGGGCAAGGGCATCCTGGCCATCATGCGCGCGCTGCAGCACAACACCGTGCTCACCGAGCTGCGCTTCCACAACCAGCGGCACATCATGGGCAGCCAGGTGGAGATGGAGATCGTCAAGCTGCTGCGGGACAACACCACGCTGCTGCGGCTGGGCTACCACTTCGAGCTCCCGGGACCAAGGATGAGCATGACCAGCCTGCTCACCCGGAACATGGATAAGCAGCGGCAGAAGCGCATGCAGGAGCAAAAGCAGCACGAGGCGCACGAAGGCGGAGCCCAGCTGAGGACCAAAGTCTGGCCAAGAGGCACGCCCGGCTCTTCGCCCTATGCGTCTCCCAAGCACTCGCCCTGGTCCTCCCCGAAAGTCTCCAAGAAAGTGCCCACCGTGAAGAGCCGACCCCCTTCTCCCGTGGCCCCGCCGCCGCCGCCGCCGCCGCCCCCTCCTCCGCAGAAGCTGCCGCCCCCGCCGCCGCCGCCCCCTCCTCCGCTCCCCGAGAAAAAACTCATCACCCGCAACATCGCCGAGGTCATCAAACAGCAGGAGACCGCCCAGCGGGCCTTGCAAAACGGACAGAAAAAGAAAAAGGGCAAGAAGGTTAAGAAACAGCCCAACTCCATCCTAAAGGAGATCAAAAATTCCCTGAGGTCCGTGCAAGAGAAAAAAGGCGAAGAGGGCTCGCGACCGTCCACGCCCCAGAGGTCGGTTCATGAGAATCTCATGGAAGCCATCCGGGGAAGCAGCCTGAGACAGCTGAGGCGGGTGAGTAAGCCAAGAACGCCCGTGGGCCACAGGTAGGGTAGGGGAGTGGCGAGATGACACCCAAGTCACCTCTCTAAGGAGCCAGGCAGGCCAGAGCAGGCGAGCTTGGGGCTCCAAGCAATAGCGCTGGGGAGGGGGGTGTAGCTCAGTGGATGGAGCAGCCCCTCCCCCCCCTCCCCGCCCCAGGTGAGGCCTTAAGTGGGTCCTCCTGCATCGAATGCAGAAAAACAAAAATCTAGGCTTGAAGACATCAAAGGCAGGTCACCGTTTCTATTTGAGAAGTTTGAGAAGTATGCCCAAGTAGAAGTATTAGAAGTGTGCTCTCTCCTTCTCTCTCTCTCTCTCTCTCTCTCTCTCTCTCTCTCTCTCTCTCTCTCTCTCTCTCTCTCTCTCTCTCTGTCTTCCCTGCTCCCCGCCCTTCCTTACAGGTACTGAAGGGTTATCATGTATAACCCAGCCTATCTTCTGTCTTCTTAGCAGACCTGCAAGATCCTCCAATGTATCAAAGTGCTGATTTCCTATTAGTAAATCAGAGTATAAGCAACATCCCACAAAAAAGGGCCACTTTTCAAAATTTTATCACAAAGTTGTGGTGATTTGAAGCCTAACTTACAATGTAAAACTTGAATGCCATGCGGTAACCCAATAATCCTTCTATATGTGAGTTCTGCCAGAGACACCCCCTACAGATAGTTTTCACTTTACCATTTGTATTGTTTTGTTGAAAGAAACTCCCCTGTTTTTGTAGGTGGAAGTTCCAGAAGCCCTGCGATAAAAACACCATGGTTAGAAGAGGATGCAGATTGATTCAATGGTATTACATAGAATGCATTGTGAGAGGTTTCTATAACACCTTCATTTTGAAATGTTCCATGACTCTTAAAATAGCCTTATCTATCAGTTCCAAAGAGAATTTTAAAACAATCAGCATGTTTCTTTTGTAAATATGAAAGTAAATGTCTTTTTTTTCTAATGTCATGAGCTTTGTATTGGCAGGAAGCAACTTATATAAAGATGTTCTTCATAATTCTGGATATGTTGGTATATGTGAGCTGTAATGAATTAATCAAAATAGGCTGTTATTTTTGTAATCCTAATAAATTTGCATTGAATTTTTTTTGGTGTGTTTTTTAAACAAACTAATTTGTGTGTATACGAGAGTTGATACATCTTGTCAGGTGTGTGTTAACATTGCTTAATATTAAAATATTACATTCTCACCCATAAAGGGCTTGGGTTCTTAGCATTTTCCTTTGTTTCCTCACGTCCATAAAAACATGCAGAGTTCCTTCTACTCCTCTGGAATCAAGATTGTTCTTTAAAATCTTCTGGGTAGCTAGAAAAAGGGTCTGAAAGACACCCAGTGTGGCTTTTATCTTGAATGCATCAAGGTGAAACCCAGGACATCTGCTGACAGACCACATTCCTATAGACTGATAAGTCCCCCAAGTCAAGTCAAGCATTTATAATTAAAATCAATTATTTCTAGATGTAAAAAATCAGAAAGTTTCTTGATAAAGAGAAAATATATGTAAGGAGAATGCATGGAAGATGAGTACCTTGAATCCAGAGCTACTATAAGATTAATGTAAAGGTTCATGAATAAGATCTATTTTGAAACTCTCCTTGGATAATCCTGGTCCTGTGGTGTTCAGTCTTTTTGCCCTGATAAATGGTGGTGATACCAGTATTCACCGCAGGAACTCCATATCCAGGGACAAGGGCTTATGAAATTGCAATCTCTAAGGGTTATTCTGTCCCAATCTTGCTCAAGAAATAGTTATCAGATTTTGCCTTCATCCCACTCCAGTGTTCCTCTCCAATGTAGAAAAATGATAAATCGCTACTAAATTCTTTGTATTAGCTACAATTTGTGATGCTTTCTTTGTGTCCTCCATGGTACAACAAAAAATCTGACAGACACTAGGTCATCCCATGTATAAAATTTAGGATTTTCTCCAATCTAAAGGATTATGTTTCACTGAAGAACTACTCTGTTAGTTCAGGGGTCTATTTCTTTTCTTCTCTTTCTATTTTTCTGCCATTCTTGTACTCAGTAAGACCCACATAAGCCTCAGAAACCTTAGTTCTTGGGTAAAGTGTCTTGACTCCATGTGGTGAAACAGGAATTTCCTGAACTATGTGGACATTTAAATCTCATGTAGGGACACTGATAGGGCACTTGCTTACACACAGCTGACCAGGGTTGGATCCCTCGAGTTACATACAGTCCCATGAGTAGCTCCAGTGGTGATACCTGAGCAGAGCCAGAAGGCAGCCCTGAGTGTGGCCTGGTGAGGTCCAAAAACAAAACAAAAGCATAAGTTATCTCACGTATTTTCCCACTAGCATTGACAGGTTCTAGCCCCATTTTATAGACGGATAAACTAGGCTCAGAGAAGTTAACTGTGAAACTTCCTAGAAAACCTCAGATCCCATAGCATTACAACTCTCTGTTTCCCTCTAGACTCAAGCCTCCCCAAACTCACTTTTTTCAGTTAGCCTCCTTGTTCTTAGACTTAAGTGGAGAATTGTGTCCCTTTGCATGACTTCACTGTTTGCAACCTTTTCCTCAAGTGTTTGCAATCACACTCATTATACAAATAAGTTAAATTTTAGATTTTGAAAAAGGTGTGTTTGTGTGTGTTGTGTGTGTGTGTGTGTGTGTATCCCTTTATGTGCTGAGAAAGCCAAGGCAGACCTTCTATTCATTTCTGACACTTAAGTATCGTCCAAGACTGAGCTCTTCTAAATGGGTATGACTTCGACCCCCCATTAAGATGAGGCAGATAAAGAGTTTGCTGATAACTGGGTTGTTTATTAACCCAGAAAGGGGGTGTACAGCAGTCTACCCTAGTGAGCAATGGCTAGCACCTGGACAAAAGGTAGTCTCCTTCATTTTTTGAAAGACTGTCTTAGGGGGACATTTTGGGCCTCAGTAGAAAACAATGTGTACTTCTCAAAATGTAAGTAATGGACCCTCAAAGTCAATTTACAAACAAATTAGTATAAAGCCTACCCTGAAACAAGTATAAAAGGATCAGATACTAAAGGGGTACATTTATCACTCAGGAAAAACATTTCTAGAATGGTATTTCAGAAGTCAATATAAACATGCAAGGTTATGGTTCTTTATTCAGCACAGGACAGTGATCTTAGTTTATCCTGTAAACTTGTAGAGCTGGTATGAAAGCTAATTAGCTCATCTACTATAAAGAGCTTTCAGCTCACTGAGACAGAGGCTGTCCAAGACCAGATGAAGTGTTTAGGCTATGATTTATATTGGCATGATAATCTCTTAAAGTACACATCATCCTGGTTTGAAATCGGGCTAGGCTGCCGAGTCTCACTCAGCTGCCACAGGTATTTAATAACTCAGCATCAGCAGAATCTTGATTTAATGCCTTCCCTGAATTAGTTGCTGTGTGTAGAAGAGTAATAACCGCTGCGATGACTATATTGAGACACACCGAAAACTGGTTCAATCAATATAACCTTGAAAAGTTCTCATCACCACTAATTTTCCGGAAAAGTTAATGCTGTCTTTTCTTTTTGTCTGACCCTCAGAAGAAGGTGGTATCTAATTAGCACTAGTCACCAACCAACATGAAATAAAAGACCAAGAACCGACCTAAGAAGTTTACAATTCCCAATTTTTAAACTTGGGAATGTAACATTAATAGTTTCTGAGTGCCTGCCATCTATATTCCAGATATTCTTATGGAAACTGGAAATACCCAGAAAACAATGAAGATAAAGTCCTTGTCTGTGCATAATTTATGGTCCAAAAGAGGGAGCTTACTCATTCCTTCAAGCATTAAGCACTGATTTATTCAAGTGCCTCATGTCTCAGCTTAGTGCTAAGAAGACCAAGTTGAATTAGGACATGCTGTCTGCCTCAGAGCAATAAAACTATTCCTTTTGGAATATGTGATAACAGAATTGCAGTCTTTAGAGTCCTATGTTGACATTGAGAAGCCTAATTACCTAGTCTGATGGTAACAAACATTTTTGTATGTATGTGTATGTATATTTGTGGGGGACACAGAAGGTGTTTGGGCTACAAATGGCTATGCTCAGGGTTCACTACTGGCTTTGTGCTGAAGGACCACTCCTGGCAGTAGTACTCAGGGGATCATATATCATGCCAAGGATCAAACCAGAGTCAGTTGCATGCAAGGGAAGTTCCTTAACCTGAGTACAATTTTTCTAACCCCGAAATGTTCCGTATTTTCCTATAAAGATCTCAGAGTTAATATATTAGTTTTGTGAGCTACTTGGTCTCAATTAACAATTGTTCATGTTCATTAGAGGGTGAAAGCAGCACAGACCACACGTATGCAAAAGAGCACAATCTAGTTCTAGTTTATTTGTGGACATTTAAATCTCATGTAATTTTCACATGCTATTTTCTTCTTTTGTCTTTTTCCAATCATTTAAAAATATAAAAATTATTCTAAGTTTATAAGTTTAACACAGATTTGACTTCTGAGTTAGAATTGACTATAGACCTCTGGCCAAAAGTAGATAAAGGACCAAGAAAATTTTCTAAGTCTACACCTGCTTTGAATTTTTGGAGTACAGAAAAGATAATGGCTAAAAAGGAGAGCCAAATGAGGCATGTGGAGAATGAAGAAAGACATTAAAGTTTGAGTAAATCCTATTAGAGACAATAGTCAAAAACCACAGCTTTACAGAATTCTGCAAACACAAAGATTTGATTAAAAAAACTAGTATTCTTAAATTTTACTGCTGATCATTTTGATGGGTTAATAATGTGATTTATTTAATAACAGAATCATTTTGATGGACTACTAGTTTTTCTGGAGCGATAGCACAGCTGGTAGGGTGTTCACCTTACACGCGGCCAACATGGCCGACCCGAGTTCGATTCCTCCGCCCCTCTCGGAGAGCCCGGCAAGCTACCGAGAGTATTCGATATGCCAGACACAGTAACAACAAAGTCTCCAATGGAGACGTTACTGGGCCCGCTCGAGCAAATCAACGATCAACGGGAGGGCCTTTACCTTTACTAGTTTTTCTATTGTATTCTTTTTCACCAAAGTAGGACTTAATTATGAAGAAAATCAGATTACACAGATAAGCCAAAAGAATCCTTATAATCCATGCCCCAGACTAGTGATGACTCTTTTAAGCAAAAGTTTTCAATTTTTTATCTTTTTTCTTTTGGGGGGTCACACCTCGTAGTGCTCAGAGGTTGCTCCTGGCAGTGCTTGGGAAATTGTGTGGTTCTGGATATTGAATGGGTCTCCAGCATGCATGGCTGTATTTTAATACCTGTGAACTAGGATTAGTCTCACACGACTCTGTAGACTATCAGTTTAAAAGTGCTGCTTTAATGTATGTCCTTTTAAATCATTCCTTATGCATATTTAAACACACATATAAAGATATTTGCACAAAAATTGGAAGATAGCATTGATACTCTAATACAATGCAGCATATTTAAAGCATTTTCAACAACTTGAATATCAAGCATACTATAATTTGTCCTCTGATGCTAGATATTTGTTTCAACTCATCTTTTACTATTTGTTACTGTAACTTTAAACTTTTCTCAAAGTTGTAAGAAGAAAAGATAGGAAAGAATAGCTAAAAAGCTATCTTTAAAGAAAACTAGAGTTTTGCAACCTGCTTGTAGTACACTCAAACTAGAAATTAGGTTTCAACCAGATTGTTACGTTTACCAACTTTCTCTCAGCCAAATTACATGCCTCTGTGAACCTCAGAGGAATGCATTAGCAAGAAGCATTTCCAAAAGTCCATGCATTTTCTATGCCTGAATAGGTAGGCTGGGATGGACGAAGAGTCACAGGAGCTTATCCCGAAGCACTTAGTGTACACTAAGGAATGTGAACTTAATTATGAAAGCCATGGTAAGCATCAAAGGATTTTAAGAGGAGGAGTGGCATGCTGTTTATATAGCTTTTAAATGTATGATGTGTGCAAGCACTGGACAAGGAGGCTAAGGGAGTTAGGTAAGGAAGGCTGGTTAGAAGACAATGATCTAAGAATGAGTGATACAGACCTGAACTGTGAATGCTGTATAAAGTCAAAACAGAGAAGAGACAAAGAAAGCATTGATTCCAGAGAAGT